TATGGACCAATTATGGTCTTCGATCTCTTTCAACAAACTCCCCATTATACATGAAACGTAACACTGAGCATGATCCACCATATTGGCGCGGCGCTATTTGGATCAATATGAATTACTTAGCTGTCAGAGCATTGCATTTTTATTCAAATGAAGCTGGCCCATTTCAGAGTAAAGCAGCAACAATTTATAAAGAATTAAGGTCGAATTTAGTTGAAAATATTATGAAGCAGTATTATAAGTCAGGTTATATTTGGGAACAGTACAATGACAAAACAGGTGAAGGTAGTGGTTGCAGACCTTTTACTGGGTGGTCTGCACTAGTTGTTAATATAATGAGTGAAAAATATTAAATACATTTTCATGTATATAGAAAATTGTAAGCTCAATTAAAATGTCTCCATTGTCAAGCACTTTTTTAGGCAATTGTAAATAATTTTGACCTTAATAAATGAATTGAAAAACTGGAGAACTGTATTTTAGAATTATTGTTTCTGATTGAAATATATATATATATATATATATATATATATATATATATATATATATATATGTCGCGTGGATATATATACAGTGCTCTCGTTGTGATTTGAAAATAGATAGATACGATGATTCAATTTCATGTATAATTTGTAAGAATGACTTCCATAGTAAGTGTATTTTTGCATCTACGGAAGATTATTTGAAGTTACGTGATGAAAATAAGATTAATCAGTGGTTTTGTGGGACCTGTAGTCAACACGCAGGTGAATCCGTCTCAAGTCAACACGATATGGTTAATATCGATGGTGAGTCTTTAACTCTAAAACATCTTATTGATTTCAAACAGGACATAGTAAGAGAGATTACAGCGTATTTTGTTGTTGAAATATCCCAACTGAAGGAATTACTTTCTTCTCAAAATGATATAATTCTTTCATTTAAATCTGAATTGAATGAAATTAAATGCAACAAAAACAACGTAAAAACAAATACATGTGATGGAAGATCCCCGACGAAATCATCTGTGTATGAAAAAGGTAGTAAAACAAAATGCGTAATTTCGAATGCTACAGACGGAGTGTCTCCAGATGATCATCTTTCCAATAATAAATCGAAGCAAAGAAAAATTATGAATTAGCTTATACTCATAGAGAGCGACATAAAGCCTGATGAGATTGATCGTGACACCTTGCCAGAAAAACAGGAAGAATGGACGATTGTGAAATCGAAAAAAAAAGGGAAACAGGATTCTTATTCATCAATCACGAGAAATTTTATGGAAAATAGAATACATTCTGCAGATGCTCCACCAAAAGCCAACCGAAAATCAATAAAACCCATAGTTGGTACTACGAAGTCCAATGTTTTAGTCGCTGCACCAAAGAAACCTCTTGCAATCCTACACGTCTCTAGGCTAAGCCCAAAAACGGAATCAGCACATCTTGAAAATTATATTAATGAAACTATAATGGATGTCACATGTGAAAAGCTAAATTCTAGAAGGCCTGACATTTACTCATCTTTTAAGGTGACTGTCCCATTTGAATCCTTGGAACAAGTTATGAATCCGTCATTTTGGCCAGAGGGTGTAGCAATAAAACGGTTTTTTGTGAAGCGCAGATACAACAGAGTCACGCCCTGAAAACAACAAAACTTAAAGAAGGCAGGTCTGCTTTAGACCTCAATAGCTTAAAAATTACACATTTAAACATACAGTCCTTAGCAACATCTTTCAACGGCCTTGAAAATTTTCTTGGAGATTATGAAGTAGATATCCTTGCACTTACAGAACACTAGCAAACTGGGGATCAATTGAAGGAGTACCGGATAAATGGCTTCAGGCTGATCTCTAGTTTCTGCAGAAAAAAAAATAAACATGGTGGTAGCGCAATCTTTATTCGTGAACACTTGAAATGTAAATCCCGACCAGATATTGAAAAACTTTCTGCTGTGAACATATTTGAGTGTTCTGCCATTGAGTGTCAAATAATTCAAAATTATAAGCTAGTTGTCGTTTGTATATATAGAGCCGCCACGCAACCTGTGACAGATATCAATCTCCTATTTGAGAAACTAGTAGAGGCTTTGGATATTCTGAATAAGGAAAATGATATAAAGCTGATAATAACAGGTGACCTTAATATTGATTTACTTAAAAAAGAGAACAAGGATGTAAAAACGCTCATATCCATCTTGAATTCATTCAACGTGGGCATTATGATAAATGAACCCACACAAATTACTAATCACTCTGCTACCTGTATAGATGTCTTATTTACAAATATTTTGAACGGTGAATCGACAATATGTCAACCACATTTGTCTGATCATACTGCGCAGAGCTACAAAATAAATTTAGAGATTATCAAATCTACTGATAGTAAGCAGAAGAAAATACGAATCTACTCCGAGAAAGCTTTTCAGAAATTCGGCAGCATTCTTCGGGAAACCTATTGGGAAAAAATTCGTTGTTATAAGAACTACGAAATAAATGAAATGTGGGAATGTTTTTCACAGTACTTTCAAGTGGCTTTCGAGGACAGTTTTCCTCTAACTGATGTTCCTAAAAATTCCTTGAGCAAGACACCAATAATCAGGAATGATAAGATAAAACATTTGAAGAATCAGTTGGATATATACTATGTGATGTCAAAATATAATTTAGAAGCCCAAATAATTTATAGAAAACTGAAAAAACAATATGATAGAGCTATTTCCGAAGCAAAACGGTCTTATTATGCAGAAAAAATCAAAATATCTGATAATAAATCCAAAACTACTTGGCATATCATAAATACACTTTTGGGAAAATCAGGCTCACAATCCAAAGTTATTTTACCATCCGGAGATCCAGACAACGTAGCAAATGAATTAAACAACCACTTCGTTATGGCTGGTCCAAACCTATGTCAAGGACTTCCAATTAGTTATGACGTTGAGAATATACAAACAAAGGTGAACTCCTTTTACGTCTTCGAGGTCACGGCTGCAGAAATAGAAAAAATAGTGAAAGAATTGAAAAATTCTACAGCAAGTGGACATGATGGAATTCCGAACAATGTTATAAAGAGAGCAATAAAATATATTGTGGAGCCTTTAAGATATATAATCAATATGTCCTTCATAGAGGGAATTTTTCCAGACGCACTGAAGATTGCAGTTGTGAAACCTGTATATAAAAAAGGATCATTCAATGATTATGACAACTATAGACCAATAAGCCTGCTGCCGTCATCCTCGAAAGTTTTGAGAAACTACGTGCAAAAAGTTTGTTAAAATTCTGCACAAAATTTGAAGTTTTCAGTAGAAGCCAACATGGTTTTTTACCAAACAGAGGAACAGATACGGCTATCTACGAACTCACACAAACAGTACTAGACGCATTAGATGACGGTGACATTCCGACTGCTCTTTTTCTGGACTTGACCAAAGCTTTCGACTGTGTCGATCATCATAGACTTCTCGAAAAGCTGAACTACTATGGGATAAGAAACAAACAACTGGCATTAATTGAAAGCTATTTGAAGAATCGGACACAACTTGTAAAAATTGAATTGAATGGAGTCCATCTGTCAGATAAGTTGAATATCAGAATGGGAGTACCACAAGGTAGTATCCTGGGACCGCTTCTATTTGTTCTATACATCAATGATCTCCCAAATGCATCGCCTCAATGTTCACACACTACTATATATGCTGACGATACGAATATAGTGACATCATCTACTGAATTAGCTGATGTCATACGAAATAATGAGCTTGCTTTCACAGCTATCAAAAATTGGTGTAATGTGAATGGACTTCTTTTGAATGTCAGCAAGACAGATTGTGTTCTGTTTCAAACCGATAAATCTAACCTTCTCGCGCCTAGGTCAATTACTCTCGAAGGAAATGACCTACAGATGGCTATGAGCACAAAGTTCTTAGGTATTCATTTGGATTTCAACCTGAAATATAAAGAGCATGTGAATGTATTGGCAGGAAGACTTTGTTCTGTGATATATTCATTGAATGTTATGAAACATCACGTTGAAGTGGATATTTTAATGATAATTTATACGTCAAGTTTTCAAAACCTTCTCACTTATGGTGTTATCTTCTGGGGAAACAGTGTTCACAGTAACCGTATTTTTGGCATGCAGAAATTTGCTCTGAGGACTATCTACAGGATGAAACTGAGGAACTCATGTAGAGGTTTATTCCGGAGAAATAAAATTCTGACGCTGAATGGTATATACATTTTTAAATGCCTGCTATTTTTACATAAGAATAAAATTTACTTTGATCAACACAAAAGTAGAAATATAACAAGACGAATAGAACCATTTTTGTATCCGCGGCATAATTTAGCACTAGTTCAGAATGGGATGAGGTATATGTCAATGAAATTCTTCAATGCATTACCTAAGAGGAACCAATCTATAACGGACTTTCACCAATTTAAGAGGATGATTTATGGATTGATCATGGAATGTGAACCCTATGATGTAGCAGAATTCTACCGATACTGTGCAACTGAATCCTAATATCTTGATAATTTTCTCTTCAACCAGTTTTTTGACGTTGTTTCTATGTTTTCTTTCTTTGTTATTATTATATATTTTACAATTTCGCAGCCTCCCGCACCCAACGCTTACTTATTATGCATATAAGATCCAACATTTTTGTTGATATCAGGAGGCTTACTATGACTTTTGTATTACCTCCCGGATACTAATACTAAACGTAATGCTACTTGAGTTACAGAACCCGTAACCGAACTATGCAAGCTGCTGGTTGGGAGCGTCGAGTATCACGCGTAGTTGCGGATGCTGCAACCTCTAATGCTCCTCGGAATAAATACGTTCTACAAGAAAGATACTCAATAGTTCGCTTTGGCAATTCATGTAGATACTGTTTAATTTAAAATTGCAATTATTCTAGACCACTAAAAATCTATATTTCTACAAATCGAAATGGCTGCAAGAAAATATGTGCTCTATAGCTAGTTATATACTAATTAATGTATATCAAGTTAACCGGTCTCCGTGGTTTAGTTTGGAGAACAGCCGACTATGGTGCGGTAGGATTCGGGTTCGAGCCCCGGTGAATGCATGGTTGTTTGTGTTCGTCTATGATTTAAGTAGTTCAATAGTGATAATTGTTGGGTGATGTACATTGATTACAAGCCCATTAGCTGTTCGGAACCGAATCGTCGTTCAACAAAACTGTAGGTCCACTGAATTATATAAAAAAAAGTATATCAAGTAAGAATGAATAGATGATTCAAACAATCATTATAGTATTCATCATTGTTTATTTCAACTGCTACAATTGATTATCATTTTTTTGCTTTATTTCATCAGTACCTTATCAGGAGTTTAAATACTCTTTTTGTGAACAGCTATGAATTTTTGATTTCGAGAATAAAATAAAAGGATTGTTTGAAAAAGAACAACAATCTAGTAATGGTTGAATCTACGTCACAACTTTCAAATGAAAATGTGTGAATCAGGTAAATATTGTCCTCTATTCCATTTTACTTTTAAAGTGATTGAGAAACTAATGATTACTGTTGTTAAAGTGAAAAGTAGGAGACAAAAAAACTGCTAAGGTATAGATAACCAAAGAAATACTTTGGAATTCAAAAAAGTCCACTTTATAACATACTATAGGATGAAGGCATAATTAATACAACTTAATATAAAACATTTAACAAAGAGAGATTTTGTAAAAACAGATTTCTTCAACATTGATACATGTTATCTGCAACTGTGGTTGAATCTAATTACAAAATGTCTCATTCAAATGGTTTTCCGAATAGCACTAAGTAGAAGAAACTAAGAATATTCAAATGAAAATGGTATAGTTGTAGATGATTCAAAAAAAAAACAGCAAATCTTAAAATTGAGTATCAAGTAACATTTGGTTGATCAAATTTGGTCCTCTACCTAAGCGATATTATTCGATGTTTTGAATCTGGCATTCAAATGCACGCTGTGTACACTGGTTTCTTGAAAGCGTTCGATAGGACCAATGAGGTGCTCTGCATGGCTGAGACCCCAGATGGTTCGTTATAGGGACTACATTTCCAGAGAAATTCAGGTGCTATCGGGTGTGCCGCAAACTGAGGTTTGCAAACGCAAAAGTGTGTTCACACTTGCGTCTATTTTATTTAACTTATTTGTGAATGATGTTAAGAGTTCCCTGGATGCTAATTTTTCAATGTTTGCGGATGATATGAAGTTATATTCACCACTAGATAGTTTAGAGATAGATAGTAGTAGATAGCAGCAGAGATGACTTCCAACTTCAAATTGACTCTTTTGTTAATGTTGACTCGAGTGAATTCAGTTCGTGACCTTGATATGATATTTAATATACGTCTTAATTTCAAGGAACATTTGAGAAGTGTGGTTTCTAGATCTTACCAGATGCTGGGCTTCATTATACGCAATTCTACCGAAATCTCACCCAACACTATCAGAGTAGGTACTCTATTGTTGCCTTTGTAGGACAATACTAATCATATTACCGCTGCGATGTCGAGTCTTGAGGGTGTTCAACACAAATGCCTTTTTTTATAAATCGGGTTTCACTGTCGCACAGAAGACGTACATATGTCTGATATGTGTTTTCTTTTTAAAATACTTACAATACAATAACAATTCTAAAATGGTTACATTGTTTGTGCAGATGTGCCAATCAAAGCAGATTTTAATTTACTCTACAGAATTACAAGGCACACTCCTCTTTTTCGCATGAGAACTCGCAAAGCGAACTATATATCGAATTTTTTTATTATTCGCGTTATGTGAACATTTGAATTAATAGTAGTTGAAGAGTAAATTTGAATTTAACTTCGAATAGTAATTTTGAGATGGTATCAAATCATGGTGTGTATGATTACGTTTCAAATTAATTTGTATGTTAGCTACTTTGCGTCTATATGTGAAATCTATACCTATATGTTTGTTATACTGTTTTTTGTATTCTATATTTGTTGAAAGAGAATTTCCCGTTCACTAAGTGTATATGTACACGTTATATTCTCTATAAATAAATAAAATGTGTCAATTGCTTCTCTTAGCAATTCTAGACCACAATGCTCAAACGGATTCAATGGACGAAAGAACTACAATAATTCACGCAGCGAATGAAAAATGGAATGTATTATTTCGATAGATAGGTACTTATCATTGAGTATAAGAGTTTAACTTTTTTAAAATTACACATTTCTATAATATTTCTGGAATATTACCACAGTTTGTACATAATCCATAATTTACCCTAATTGAGTTCTAAATGTCTCTCTTTTATTTTGTTCGACTGGCTCTCGGTTTTCACACCAGGCTGTGTCATCCAGTTGCGCGAAAAGTTATGCACATAATGAAATTAAAATTCAATTTATATTTTTGTTCTTTGTAGGTATAATTATAATAACTTTTTTCTATTATATTGAACGTCATTTTCAATAAATATAATAACTTCTCTTGTTTATTCTTGACTTCATATGTACCATGCTTAAGCCTAAACCATCGTATCAGAAGAGTTGAAACGGTATATTGACAAGATTTTCATTGTGAATTTTAATGTTTGATTTTTTTTATTGTTTGATTTTTTTTATGTTTGATTTTTTTTATGTTTGATATTTTTTGTGTTTGAACATTTGTAAATGTTTAATAATTTGATTTTTTACCTACATGACTTATTTTTATAATTTTCAATGAAAGGGAAAAAATGATTTCTTTAAGTTTATAACTACAACAAAATATGTATAAAAATGAGAAGGATTATGGCCATATAACAAATTTAAAATTAGACGGGATAAGAAAAATATACGAATCTTCTAGGGAAATACACTGTTCTTGGGAAAAGAAAATCCAGAATAGATATAATTAATTTATATCAACTTGTGTATTGCTCTATTTTTTTTCATTTTCATACTTTTGAAAAAGATTATTGTGGTAACGCTTTTTGACAGTGACTATTCTTCTACATACATATTTGCATTGACTTTACATATATTATATTCATTAAAGCATATATAATAAATCTATTAACTCTATAACAAATACAACAATCTTATGTGTTAATAATTAATAACATTTGAAGTAATTTGTAAAATTTTACATTTTCATCTCCCTTTTAAAACGATTTCTATTTATGACTACAATCAAGATTATATCACCTATAACAGAATGTGTAATTAACTAATTAGTGATATTGTTTTCACCGTAACAGCCTGTAGTAAACTTCTGTTTCAACATTTCATGTTTTCGTTCACTAAATAAGAAAAGCTTTTGCAACAACTTGAATAGAATATAAAAAAGTCAACCCAACAACGAAAAATTTACATTTATTTTTCAAAGACTACTTGCATTTTACAACTGTCTAGTTCATCAACTGTCAAGTGATCTTGACTCATAGAAATGATTGATGCTTCATGGTCAAAATTTTATGGGTAGACATTTCGACAAATCTTATAAAAACATACAATTCTTCAATTAAAATATGTGACATCAATACCATTAGCTTCATACTTCTACATAATATGAACTCATAATTTAGCTTCTAGAAGTGAAGGAATAATCAGATAAATATTCTTTTATATCTTCCAGTATGTATTTCATCTCAATAAATCATATTCTCTCAATTTGTTCAATAATTACGAATTGACATGAAATAATATTAATAATTGATGGGGCCGATACTGGATGTAAATCGATAAACATAATAAAACAATTTTTAAGTCAAGATTTACACATATATCAAAAAGAATACTGCATGACGCACGTTTCGATGAGATTCACCTTTTTCAAATGCTACGTATAGACTGATGACATTTCTCGAATACATACAATAGGTAAACTTAAATTATGAATACAGAGAAAACAGGTAGATAACAGGTAGAAGGGATCAATTCATACTGAACTAATATATAGGAAACTAAGTAATTTTGAAAAGATTGAGAAGGGGACTTGAGGTATGATCGATTTGGCTGTTCAAAAGGTTGCCAGAATATTTGTATTTATTAATTTGAAGTGATTCCAAAAAATTAAGCTTCATTCCCTTATTTGAGGTATTCAAAATCATATTTAAATCATATACTCAATTCTGATTTTGAAATTTTGAATACCGCAAATAAGGGAATGAAGCTTAATTTGTTAGAATCACTTCAAATTAATAAATACAAATATTCTGGCTACCTTTTGAACAGCCAAATTGATCATACCTCAAGTCCCCTTCTCAATCTTTTCAAAATTACTTAGTTTCCTATATATTAGTTCAGTATGAATTGTTACTACCCTTCTACTTGTTATCTACCTGTTTTATCTGTATTCATAATTTAAGTTTAGGTACTTATTGTATGTATTCGAGAAATGTCATCAGTCTACACGTAGCATTTGAAAAAGGTGAATCTCATCGAAACGTGCGTCATGCAGTATTCTTTTTAATATATGTGTAAATCTTGACTTAACAATTGTTTTATTATGAAATAATATTGCTTGGGTGTTTCCAAAAAGATCAATCAAATGCTTTTCTTTCAAGATGCTGATCTATTTCTTCATCTCTTATTTATATATGTTATATATTATGAATGGAAATACATCTACCGTAATAAATTGTTTTAGACATAAATTACGTTACAGAAATGTGACGTAAATAATGTTTCTTCTGTAATATTAGGTCTCACAATGCTTAGTGAAAAATCAAGTTTTAACAAGAAGGGTAAAGCCTTATGAATAAAAATCTCCTTCTATAGTTGGAGTTACTTAATTTTCACAAATCTAGTTAAAGAACGACGTACACATATCAAATTGCTGTAATTGCACCAGTTCCAGATTATTGGAAAAACTTCCAAGGTGTAAGTTACTTATATTGAAAACTCACCTCTCAGTCAGAATTAGTCATCAATAATGAGCATAAGTTGTCAAACACATATTCTTATACACGGAAATTGTGAACCGTTTTGTATCATTTGATCACACGGTTTTTTTGTATTCGGGTGGAATAAATTACGAAATGAATATATATATATATATATATATATATATATATATATATATATATATATATATATATATATATATATATATATATATATATATATA